AGAACTATCTGGAATACCTGGAGAAAAGTATATAAGCGACGACGAGAACCAGAAAAGGAGAGTGAAGTGACAGCCGCGCCTGAGTGCAGAAGAAGTTAAACCCGCGAGTCGGAAATCCGTGTTTTCCGTGTGTTATTGTTATCGTTTGTGAAGTTGACATTAATTTAGAAGTTAGTTTGTTCCTGTTCCGTAGTTAAAGTTGTACCGAGTGGAATAAAAGTTGTAACCAGAAGAAAGAATTTGATACTCGGCCATCCACGGTACAATATTAAGGCGAAGTTTAATAAGAAGTAACATCACCATTCGGTTTTTTGCTTCTTTTGCCTTTGAATCCACTAAAGTCTGGCAATATTCTGGTGTGAGCGAATTCCAAATTTCATTTGATTTTGCTTTTAATCCCGAAATTTTTCGCTGATGATCGTTACGCAATGATTTCTTCATTTGATGCCATAAAGTTTCAGAGAGCTAGAGAGCCACGGTAACACTGAAATTATGATCTCCAATCCACTTTTTTTTTAAGCTGCGTGAAAAAGCAATGCAATTTTTAATTCCGAATTATTGTTTCATAGTTTGAATTTAAGTTCTTTTTTTATTCATATTAAACGTTTGTGAGTGTGCCATGGATGGCCCGGACTTATTGTTAGTAAAAATAAATAGGGATTGAAAATTCGGAGTGTGTTTTCGATTTGTGCAGAGCTCGTTTGTTGCTTGTATTAGTGCTTCTGTTACTGTTTGTTAGAAATTTTTACGAAGAAACTTTTTAGAAGAAATCTGTTATGTTACATTGTTAGAAAAAATAAATAGGGATTGAAAATCCGGATTCTTACTCGAAACATCAATAAAAACTTACAATGAAGGCACATCGTCGGAGGAACAATCACTTTTATTTTATTTAATTTTTCTCTGTTCTGTTGTGTAACGCATCCTTATTGTTTGTTTTTACTTCATGATTGCTATCGTCTTCAGTTACTTTTAAGTTTAAATCGTCCATTTTATACATTTTGCTCAAATTGTATCTTTGTATTATATTCGTCCAGCTTCGTTTCATTTAAACATCATTTTGTGCAGAATTGAATATAGTTCCGCATGCTGGTTGATCATTCGTGTTCGAGTGGACGGTCTCAGTTGTGTAAATACTCTTTATTTTTCGTTCGTTCGGGGGGCGAGTTCAGGATGTTGAATGGTACCGAACCAACATGGTTTGATTCAGTTTACTAATTAATTTAATTCTCACTTTTGACTTATTTTTTGTCCAGAATATGCCGATTTTTTGTAGCATTTATTTTTTTCTCTCTTCTGAAGAGATAAAAGCTCTTTTCTTGCAAAGAATGACGCCAATTTTGACTCATTTTTAGACATTTGGTTCTATTTATGTTGATCAATTTAAAATATGAATTAATTTATTAGGGTAATCATAGACCGTATAAATAATATTTTTAATATTAGCTAAATGTATTTAGGGAAATATAACTATTTAGTAGTATGTAAAAGTATTCAACAAACATTATTTCTTAGAACTGGTGAGAAAACAATTGTTTAATTGTTATCGAAGACAAGTTAAAAGTTATGGCAAGCATGTTATTTATTTCCTCTCCAATATTTAAATTTCACTGTTTGGTTTTTATAAATAATTAATGAATTATGAATAGTGAAGAAACAACATTATGATGATAGTGGAAAATACATGATCAAAGAATAAAGAAGAAAAAAAGAAAAGAAGCATAATGATTATTTCCAATACAAAAAAATAATTCTTGGGGTTTTTTATCGCATTTAGTTAATTAATTTAATAAATGCCACTATACAAACGCAAGATCTTATATGCTGTATTTGACCCGCATTTTCTTTTGCACATTTACCGCTGGTGGTACGATTGGTACCACCGACGACCTTTTGTCTACATCTCGTTTCTTAATTCAAATTTATGTATGTGCTCTTTATTGTACTGTCTTATGTCTTTTCAGATATTTCTGGAGATATCTTTGTTGATAACTCTTATTTTTTAAGTACTGGGTTGTTGCGATTCAATTTTTTTTGTTGCTCTATTAGTGATTTGGTGTGGGGGTGGATTTCGTTCACTTTTTCAGGTTTTGTGCAGAGCTCTTTTGTTGCTTCTATTAGTGCTTCTGTTGTTATTTTTTTTAGCTCGTTGATGTCTCCTGTCTGTGTATTTTCTAGCGCTTTTGTTATAGTATTTTCGAACTTTGTTGGGTTTTCTAGGTCCTGCCCCAGAATTGAGGTAGTTGGGGAAATCTATGAGCTCGCGTAGAAAGATTTGCTATTCCTGAAGTAGATCTATATTCTGCCGGGATCGCAAAAGAGTATCTACCCGCTTCCGCATACTGCAAATAATACTAGTATATCACATATAATAACAATATCATGAACGTTATGAATAATTTTTAAAGAATTGACATGAGGGATCAATTTTGTCACCCTGCATCTGAAAAACTAAAGCGTTTTGCAAATATGTATAGTTACATGCCGTCCAACTTAAAAGATTATATTTTTGACTGTTCAATAACTTTTTTTCAGTGGCTTGACTGTATTCATCAACTCATCAGGCAGTTTCCCGTGTCGTTTGAGTTCTCTCATAACTATCTAATCAAACTCGCGCAGCACACATTTTCTAATTTATATGGCACCTTCCTTTGCAACACCCACAAGCAAAGATCAAAAATTGTACACGGAAGAACGTTTTCAGTATGGGACCTATTAAGTTCGTCCAGCTTTAAAAATCATCTTTATGCGCCTACACAAAGTACAACAACGGCCAATAGGGTAAGTTTTCAATTAACTTTAAAGCTCTGTATCAGTAAATTATACATACTCAGTAGATTATGCCTCTTTAGGTCTGTGGGGTTATCGGTCAATAGGTGGTGACAAAAAATGTAACACTATTTTTTATGGGCCGACGTTCGACTATATTCAAGTCATGCTCAGGGCTCTAAAATTGAAAACAAAGGGGTTTCAGCTCTAAATTCAGCGAAATGAAACTTTCTGAAGTTGGTCACAGGGTTGTCATTGGGACACAATCACAATCGTAAGTAAAATAAAACATGACAAACAAGATCATAAAATCGAAACATCCAACACTAATTCAAAGAAAATAAAAAATAGTGTTTCATTTTTTGCCACCATCTATTGACCGATACACCGACAGACCTAAAGAGGCACTATTTACTGATTATCATCACGGTCACTAATTAACCACAACATCATTATACATACTGCTTTTTTAAATTAGGTTTTATGGCCGAAAACCCATATACGAGACCTAAGGCTTTGGTCGGAAGTATATTTGGGTTCTCTAGAAGCAAATTTTAATCCAGAGGAGGGTTCTGGAGGTGCTTGTCCGGGACCTCCTGATATGAACGGGCACATTAACATGTCCAAAACGAGATCTTATGGCGATTTATTGAATGGTGACGCTTGTCATGTATTGTATGGAGGTAGACGAAGCAGTGATCCCAGTATTAATAGAGAGTTGTAAGTGCTTAATTGATAAACGCATGATTTGTACTCTATTTGATTAACAATATTTTGTTGTTTTTTAAAGCTTCTTTATTCCCAAGTTGAAATTATCTTAGGTATTATTCAAGTATTTATAATTAGGCTCATAACGGCAAATACGTGTTTTAATTTTGCAGACGCTAATTTACAAATAAAAAATTGTATTTTTTAGAAAACTTGTCCCACATGGAAATGGAGCAACTGACACAATAAATAACACTGACGTTGCTAATGGTCATCACAATCATAACGAATCTACAAACGACAATATTCCAGATTTTCTACCCAGCGACATGGAAGATAATGCACCCGATTGCGAGCAAGATTGTATTTTCAGAATCGATGCAAATCCCACACCGCTAACTGACGATCAAATAGACGGTCTTAGTTTCGATTGTGGCTACATGCAACCAAAGGAGATAAATTCCGAAACGAATCGGAACGAAACTGACGAATTATCTCAAACTACCAATGAGATGACTCTAAATACTCAAGAAAATGTCACAAATAGTATGGCGAGCATTTTTTTAGCAGATAGCCGGGTAGATTCGAAAGAGAATGCGATGGCTTTTGGAAGTGAGGCGGAATCTACACTTAGTGAAAGAGGGTCTGAAACTGAAAACAATTTGGGTGACGAAGAATTTTTGGAAAACAATATTTCACCTGCTAGTGGGGAAGAACAGGATCATAACAATTGTATAAATAGTAGAGACATTGAAAATGACTTGTGTAGAGCAAGTGAACAAGTCGAGAGATTATTGAGCTTGGAACCATCTGTAGAGACCAGTACTGAAACTCTCGTCTCAGACCAACTGGTTCCCGGGTAAGTTTCCAATAGTAGTTTAATGTTTGATGTATAAACATATTTTTATTTTATAGTTCATCGCCTAATGAGTACAATGGTTTTGAAAAAATTCGTAGTCCTATCGATATAATAGATGGAGGAGAAGACTGTAAAATCTGTGTGGATGGAGAAAATGTTACTAACGGAAATTCTGCGTGAGTAGAAAACATTGATTTCGTAAAGTAAAAGTAGCCTTCGATGTACAGTAGAACCTTGATTATTCGTCACTTTTTTGTCTCATTGCTTGGTTTATTCGACGTGTATGTACAGGGTGTCCCAACGATAAGGTAAAGTAAGTTTACTCTTAACTGATATTATTTGTTTCAAAATTCTCATCGTAATATTGTAAAGGTACTAAACGCGCAGATTTTAAAAATATTCACATTAGACTCACACATCACACACAACATCAAGAGTGCGTAACAGAAGTTATAGACGCGTAGTAATAATTTTTTCTAAGAGAACACCCTATATACATATTACTGTGTTTTATTTTTGAACTCTTATGTAAATCCCAGTTTTGAACAGAAAAATAGAGTCCCTTTTACGTATGGAAAGTATGGATTATTTCCTAAAATAGGAGAGCTATAACAAAATGATTAATACAAAAATTGAAACGTTCTTGTCAGTCTGTTTACATAAAGAAAACATTAGTATACAGGATCTGTCAAAAAGCTACGGCAATGCAAAGTTCCTAATTATTAAATGGAACACCCTGTACGTTAGTCAATAATTGAATTATCCTCGACATTCTAAACAAAAATTGTACAATACATTATGTGCTTAAATTTAACCGTCGTGAAGATATCGAGTTGTTAAAATTGTTTTGGCTGTAACTCTCTAAATTATTAGATTCAGTGTTTTTAATTTTGCACAAACGGCGGAAGAAAATAGACAGAATTTATAAAGACGATTACTTTTTGATTCTCAGGATTAAATTGAAATTTCAAGTTTATTTCGAAGAATACCGACAATTTCGTGACTTGTTCTATCTTGCAACTCTTCAATATTTAGCGGCCTATTTTTGTAAACGGCATTTTTAGTATGACCCCACAGAAAAAAGTCAAGTTGCGTCAAATCCGGATACCGAGCTGGCCATTCAATTGTCCCGTGCGACTAATCCATTTATCAGGAAATGTTTCTTGAGATATGGAGATAATGGGTACTTCGTGTCCAAAATCCCATCATTAATATTTCAATACGCACAGTTTCAATTAAACGTGCCTTTTTAAAGCTCAAATAATTCACAAAATTCATATAAAACAAATTTTTGACTTTCGTGTCAATTACAGATTAACTGTAATTAGAGCAAAGGAATGACTGGGTGTTGTTATAATGACCTAAACTTTTTAAGGTAACTTGATCAGTGTTTTTATATTTTATTAAATAATTTGGGGAATTACATCAAAAACGATTAAAATCTCCAAAACGATTAAATTTAAACATGTAATGTGTTATACGATTTTTCTTCGCCCACATTCGTTTTATGGCGCTTTCAACCTTTGACGAATAATTGAAGTTTTACTGAAATCGCTTTTTTGCTTAATATTGCAATATTTCAATTATACTATCATTATCAATTTTGTGCGTCTTATACAGAGTTTTCCACTTGAGCGAAATAGTTTAATGACGTCAAATCGGTTCGAGGCAGGCCAAATGATCGCGTTTCATTAATTTTGCGGCCTGAACACACATGTGAAAAAACAAGTACCTACATTTTCCTAAATTAACTCCCCAATAAAATATGTTTCTATCACGATACAATATGTTTCGTTTCTCTAATTATGCGACAAAAACATTTCCGAAATACTGATTTTTTGTCAACATATAAAAATATGTTGTTATTTATTACAGCCACCGTAAATATTCTAGTAGCTACAGAATTGTGCAATCAATATACATATACATGTTTTGGATCAAATAAATATTCTAATGAACTCAGTATCCAACCATGTAAAACATATGCTTTTGATTAATTGTTATTAATTTTAGTTGTACAGGAGGTTTTTACTTTTATTCATAGGACTGAAAGTACAGGAATACCTGGCTTAAATGGATGGGATGGCGCCTGTATGCAAAGTCACACCCATAAATACAGAAGGCGAGCATCTAATTGCCAACTAGGTGAAGATGGTTTGATACCTATAAGATCACCAATAGAAGAACGATTGGATCAGATTGTAGAGGAACATAGGGTAAGCTTGGAAAATCATTTATAAGCCGAAACAGAAATGGTGAAGTGGATTCAAATTACAATAGGCATAATGACAGTATAAAAGCATCAAAGAATAATTGGTTTTAGGGAAAAGTTGAAAGGATTCTAAAAAAATACTAATTGTTAATGTAAATATTGGAATCAATAAGATTTTTATTGAAATAAAAGCGTAAAATACTGTACTCGGGCATATTGACTGAGGCACCAATCAGAGCGCACGACGTGACGCATTCGTAAATAATCCCCGCGTGTGTTCCGTGTCCCTTAATTGTTATGGCAGTCGTTCGTTCTGCATGAATTTATTGATGGTTTTGTTCTAAATAACAGAATTTAACATTCATCAACGATGGAACAATGATTTATTAAGATGAACAGCTCTAACTTGTCCAGAGTTGATACGTTCGGGTACAATTTCTTCATCATCAAAAGCTTTCTATGCTTTTTTGAGCGGAAGACATCTAATTAATTACATTTTCATGCGAAGTTGGACACACTAAATTTCAATTAAGAGTAGAATATTCTTGCTTTGGCATTTGTAATACTTCAGTCACCTATTGACTAATCTATATGTCATTGACCATTGTGTAAAGTACTCCCCACCAATTGCTAGTATGTGTTTGATAACCACCAAGCAACTGACGATTTTCGTTTCATATAAATTAATTAACAAAAAATCAGGTAAAAATCAAAGTAAATACATATTGTAATTTTTCTTTTCTAATGCTTAAATATTCAATAGGCTACCATCAAACCAACCAAGGAAATCAAACATGTGTTAATTTCAAAATACTACTTAATAACAAAGTTGAAATTCGATTTTCAAATGTTAATAATATTTGCTAAACATTTTAAATATTTTTTTTGTATTCTCCAAGTGATCCAATATAACGCCTTAAAAGGAATGACGCCAATTTTGAATCACCATGTATAGAAAAACAGCGAGAAATCTACGGTAAAAAATACAAATATTCAGTCAGATCTCAGCTCCTGAAAATCCCCAACATGAATTGATTGGTAAAAAGAAATTGTTTAATTTTGAAATATAGGAAAACAGAGCGAAATTACCTAAACTTACCGAAAGCTGAATCGTGCCACCTGGAAAGAAAGACAAATCTTTTGTAGTATAACAGAAGCTTAGTCCAAACCCAAGTTATTATACATATTTGGATAAAAAAAACGAAAAGAGAACTCAATAAAACTTCATTTGGTTCTCGAAAAACTAAACTCAGTTAAAGCTAAACGATTTATAGATTAATAATCCTTACCAACTTTCTGTAAGCTGGCGTCTCATGGCCCCATTTTCTGCCAATTAATCTTCAAAAAGCACACACTACACTTGATCATACAATTGAATATCGACACATGAAGTTGAAAATAAATGTGTATTAAATTCAAATAAGGTGACCGCCCCCACTTGCATAAGTGGAACCAAATCGGTCCATATTTCCCGTTTATGAGCAAAGAACCGAAGACCTATTTCACCCGTTGCCCATAATAAACTGAACTAAATGTGCGATATTAATGTTTTTATCCCGTTCAAAACGCACCGAGCTACAGAATTTATATGATGATATAATCGTTTGCCTGCTCGCCCTTTGTATGACTCATTCATTTGCTGTTCGATTTCACTTTTTTATTATTGACAATTTTGAAGAAATTACAGTTCTCGATCGGACCGGTTTGGATATTTGCTGAAAACAAAATTGCTTTTTCGGCCAAATGTAAGCAAGCCGTTCGGCGAGTTTTGAATGCACAATTAAATGCTAGTGCTGCGATTCTCTATGACATTTAAAGCGCTGTAAAGAATGTAACTGCTTGATCTCGAGAAATGTATGAACAATGGACTTCTGTATTGCTGTATAGGACCTTACAGCGATGTAAGTTCGGCTTACATCGCTATATATATACAGGCTGGACCTGTGTGAGCCAAACCTCAATAAGGATCAGTATTGCATAATTTCAGGCTGATGAAATTTTTGTTACTGGATAATAGACTGAATCTGTGTATATGTATGACTTGCCTGTAGTGTCGCCTTTTGTAGAATTCATTGATATAATTATTTACTCACGTCTTACACCAATTTTTACTTATTTGATTGTTATTTTATATTAGTCCAATATATGATAATAAATAATACCAAAGTGCAATATTTTTGAACTGTAATCTTCTTTCTTCAGTTATCCCTCTGTCTTTAGGAGCGTCAACAAAGTTATTCTTGCCTGATTTGTTGCTTTTGCGTGCCACATAATGATAAATAATTTTTCAAAATGCAAAATGTTGGTTATGTCAACTTACATTTTATCAGACGCTCCATTTTTATGAAACTGAGTTCCTGTGACTTGATATGTTTTGCAAAAGCGGCCTAAAGATCAACTTCACATTCAAGCCTGATTTCATCTGCTCGTATCATTGAAAGCGACGCATAGTGGAGTATTGATATTCAGTTCGGATCAAAATTGTTTTTTAATCAGATATTTCTTTAAATCGCTTTAAATTAAAAGCGGATCATATAATAAGATCAATTTTTATATTTTAAAGGATGAACAGTTACTTGCATTATACAGGATTAGACAAACATATTTAATTGGCAACAGCTAAATATTTAAGAGAGGATTGGGAGCATTTTTTTACAATCTTACCTACGTCGAAATTTTTAAGTATACTATCCAATAATTAGTTTAAAGTCTTCCTCTCAAAGGCCTAGCTTTCATATGTTAAATGAAAATAACATGTTTTTTTATCTAATGTTTAAATTGCCTGCATTTTAAAAACTAAATAAAAACATGTTATTTCTTTTTATTTAAAATAGATTGTTTGAAACTGAG